GTAGGAGTCATCAATCATTTCCTGGCGTTTAAAACTCGAGCCCCTTCTCGCTGAATGGAGCCTGGGTAAAATACCGAGAAAATCATTTAGGTACAGGTACAAAATACCGGAACATCAATGTACCGGTTATCTTCAAGCAGATCTTTTGGTGAGTGCAATACAGTGACGAAACAGTATCAGTCAGTATCCAATACGTTTGGTTAGCGTACAAAAATACCAGTACAAAGAAAAAACCCGATATAAACGCCAAAACATGTACACGTAAATAATAAGCCGAACTGTCTAAAACTGCTTGGAGAGCTAGTAATATAACTGTACTGTACCTGAATAGAGCAACACTCATGTAACTGATTTATTTCGTTTACGTCTCATCCTTCATTGAAGGACTTGGTCAAATTCGTGGTACGATCGTTAAAAATTATACGATATGAAAAAAGAAAGCGAACGACGACTTTGTAAATTGTATGAGGCCGCCGCGCCCGTATTAAACCAAAGCCATTTCACCTGAGCAAAGCGCCTTTCCCAAGGGCACACCACTTGGGCCTTCTGGTCATACAGGCAGACACAAGGGTAGAGTTTCAGACCCGTTCTGCCCTGTTGGGGATGTGATTTAGTTTAGCTTTTACAAAACTGGACCAAACAACGACACAGATGGATGGCGCTTAAAGGGAAATGTAAATTTGTGTCTCTCACGAATTTTCTGTTCAGCTGGCTGTTTTCTGCCTCTGTTGTCCTGTTCTATCCCCCCGTGAGCTTCGGTTAGATTATATATAAACTTCATGGCTAAACTAACTATTCACTTTTGTTCCATATGCTTCAAAATGTAGGAAAATTTGAGCGTTTTTTCTGTCAAAAAATATTGGACTGTAACGAAACACGTCCGCCAATGATTTTCCAGATGAAAGGTAAATTATTTCTGGTTACCCGAAACTTCGGCTCCTTTTTGTTGCAGACGATTTCCTCACTTTCTTTCATTTCGCGACGTCTTTTGTCTCATTTTTTAAATCGCAAGAGGATTTTTCTTTCTTCCTTCCTCACAAAGAAACCGGATTTCTGAATTCTGGTAATCGGAGGCTGCTAATTCTCTATCGAATCTCATCCATCCACGTCAAACTTTCTTTGTTGGGAATCTTTTCAAGAGTTGCTATTCCCGTCATGCCTTGCGCCCGTTCTATACCTTGATGTTCCAAGAGATTGAGTTAGAGGTCATTCGGGTCACGAAACTGACCTTGTAGGTTCGCGGCAACCTTTCCGAAACTGATCAATCAAATTAACCGTACGTATCGAATGTCCCGTAGGTCATGCATCATCGCCCCCCTCCCCACACCCCCTACCCGCGGAGAACTTTTTGTCGCCCGGTGTTCCCGGGGTCGCCATCTTGACATTGCCGTTCTGTCGCCCCTTGTCAGGCGGGATTCTGGCCATTTCACAGTCGACCTTTCCGATTTCCGATTCGGGTTCGGACATCGGAGACGAGAAGCCCGAGATTTCATGCCCGGAAGTAACCTGAGTTGAAGGTCACGTGTGTCAGAGGTGTTCTCTTTCGTCTTAACAGATGTTAGATTAAAGAGTGACCACTCACGTCATATCGTAAGGTGGCCACAAAATGAAGGAAGGAAGGAATAAAAAGATGTAGAGCTTCCATAACTGTGTGGCCCAAGTGAAGGGCTACAGAAACTCACGTCATATCATAGGGTGCGTGGCGACAAAATGAATGAATGAAGAAAGTGAAGAAAGAAAGGAATGAAAGGATGTAGAGCTTGTACAACTGTGTGGCCCAAGCCAAGGGCTATATAAACGGAGATGGGCGCCGCCCTATATACACCGAAACGTGCAGGTTAAGTTAAGTTAAGTTAAGTTAACTTAAGTTAGAAAACTACTATGTTAGTATCTATGACTAGCTAGACAAAAGGGTGATAGACAAAACGTCTTTTTAGATGATCGTCGACACATTTTGTGACTAAAATGCACTAAATTCGTAACCCCTGCTTCTATTGGGTCAGTTAGTCCCCTGTGTCAGTGTCAGTGCACGTGAGTCAAGCTTGGTGTTTCTGACTTTGGAAGATGAGATGTTGCTTCAGTAACCCAAACTTCGTCCAGTGCCTACAAGTGGTCTCTTGGCCAAGCACTGCGAAAATTTGTTAAAATGTATTCGGATTAAGAAAATTTAGTTTGCAACAAACTCCACCTCAGTTGCTCTCGGCTATCGTTACTTGCCTGAAAATTTGATTGTTACTTGCCCGAAACATTCTCTGCCGACGTATCCTTTGTTGTACTCCCACACAAAAATCGATCCAGAAAAATACGCTTTAATAAAAACGTCTGCATCCGTCGGTCGCCTCCCCCCCCCTCCTTTGTCTGGTCGCCTGTCTGTAGCTGATAACCAAGCCGTAATCCCCACCGCTTGTCGTGACGGTCGTTATACCTGAACACACGTCTGATCAACCACGTCAATCCGTCATCTACAAGCCACTGTGGACGTGCGGCAAGCCTTATCGCTTTAGCCTGGATCCCAGACTGTTTTCAGGGCTCACATTTTCTTAAGCTTCTTCTCACGTAACTTGGCCAGCTCCAAGCTCGGCTCCAGGGCCCATAAAATTTTACCACCGTATCTACGTAGTCGTGACGGTCGTTGGGTGAACACAAGTCTGATCAACCACGTCAAGGGAGTCCGGCCGCGGGGAGGTAGTTTCTTTCCCTCTGCGCGGCCAATCAAACCTACAAGGCGGCCAAACTCCCCTGTAAAATATTCTCCTAGTATATATAGCCAGCGTAGTTAGTCTGGTAGAGACTAGAGTCTGGCATCCAGGCTAAGTCATTTTACAACAACATCTTCTTTCCCCGGACTGCAAAATTATGGAACTCTTTTCCAAACAGATGCTTTCCGTCCGACTACAATCCACAAAGCTTCAAAACAAAGGTCCACCGCCATCTCCTGACATAACTACATTATACTCACTTTAGTACATCTAGCTCTATGCCTAGAAGTGGCCAAAAATAATTGGCCTTGCATTGCGCGACACCGTTTAATTAAAAAAAAAAGTCTGACACTTGTGCGTAGCGCAAATCTGTGTCAAACGTGGGACGGATTTTCCTCGCGTCAGAGTCTACCCACGTACCACACTAGACCTAATCCCCCTCAAATCGCCACCATCAATCTTCCGAACGCACTACACTGAACATGTAGGTCACTGCCGACTGATGTATGGAGCTTCCACCAGGCCTTGAAGGGCGTTTTGATTTATTCCCAGGCAGATCTTTGTGGTGGCTACAAGACGGTATCGAATTGGCAAGACAGTATTAAATTGGCAGGGCAGTATCCAATTTCTGCTGTCCGAAAAAAAAGACACCGGTAGAAAAAAAACAAAGCCCGGTAAAAACGCATAAAACACTTCAAAGACGTTTTATTTTATTAATCTCGAAGCCGCTTTTTGGCGGCTACAAGACAAGACAGTATCAAATTGGTAACACAGAAAGAAATTGGCAGGGCAGTATCCAGTTCTCGCCGGCAAAAGCTAGAAGCGGGTACAAAAAGATACCGACCCCCCCACGTACAAAAAGAAAACCCGATAAAAAACGCATAAAACACTTGAAAGGCGGGGTTTTGACTAATCACGAAGCAGATCTTTTTGGTGGCTACAAGACAGTATCAAATTGGGAAGACAGTATTAAATTGGCCGGACAGTATCCAATTTTGGCTGGCGAAAAAAAGATACCGGTACAAGAAAAAGAAAACCCGATAAATACGCATATAACACGCTAAAGGCGTTTTATTTTATTAATCTCGAAGCAGCTTTCTGGCGGCTACAAGACAAGGCAGTATCAAATTGGTAAGACAGAATCAAATTCTGGCCGGCAAAAGCTAGAAACGGGCCGGGTACAAAAAGATGCCGGTACAAAAAGAAAGCCCGAAAAAAAAAACGCATAAAACACTTGAAAGTGTCCAATTTTGGCTGGCGAAAAAAGATTACCGGTACAAGAAAAAGAAAACCCGATAAATACGCATATAACACGCTAAAGGCGTTTTGAAGCAGATCTTTTGATGGCTACAACACAGTATCAAATTGGCAAGACAGCTAGTATCGAATTGGCTGGGCGGTATCCAATTTGGCTGTCAAAAGTAGATACCGTTATAAAAAGAAAACCCTCAAACGCGTCAAAATAGGCCGAAGTCTAAATATAGAGTCTTCAATATAAGTCTACATAAAGTCTATATATATATATATATATATATATATATATATATATATATATATATATATATATATAGTCTTATATAAGTCTATATATACTTCTGTTCGGGGAGTGGGTTCGCAAATGAACTCTACGGTGGCCAATTATCTCCCTATATTTTGCTGAATTTTACAGTTTTTTTGGCTAAATTTGCAGTTTTTGACTCCGCGTTACTTGACTTTTTTCCCCTGACTTGACAATAAATATTGTAATAATAAATAAGTACTGTCGCGGCATGCCGTGTGTAGGAGACTGGTTTGTTGGGCCACGTGGTGAGTTAAAGGCCGGGTATTTTTAAATCGTCACCATGTGGTCTGATCTGACATTTAGTTAATCCCGAGGCCACACGATATTTTCGTGTTTGTTTGACATTTCGAAATTGTGCCTTAAGCTTTGTTTGAAAATAGAAAGTTCCCTGTAACAGGGTTCCTAAATCCGCTGTAGACTGAGGCTCGCTTGGCGGTAGGAACATAATCAAGCAGATGTGAGAATCCGCCTCCGTCTCTGTTTTACGTGTGCTTTTGCTATAGGAGCAGGCAAATTGTTTAAAAAAACTTATGCTACCAGAACGGTACTGTAGACTTTTCTTGAACAGAAAGGTATCAAGCGTACTTGTTTCCTCCCTCCTTTATTCATTTATTCACTCATTCATTCGTCATGCCCTTCCATCCTTGTATACATGTATATCCGTCCGTCCATCCATCTAGCCATCAAACCATCCAGCCATCCGTTTACCCATCTAAACATCAATCCATCAATCCATCCATTCATCAATCCACCCATCCGTCCATCCATTCATCCGTCCATCCATCCATCCATCCATCCATCCATCCATCCATCCATCCATCCATCCATCCATCCATCCATCCATCCATCCATCCATCCATCCATCCATCCATCCATCCATCCATCCATTCATTCATCCACACCCACACCCACACATCTATCCATCCGTACATCCATGCGTTTTTATCTTACTGATATGGGTACTGCCATCATGCCATGTCAATTTTATACCAGAAGATCTGTTTAAAGACTAGCCAGTTGTACGGCTGGACCCTCCAAGTCGCCCGCCCCTGCCCACCTGCCAGGCCGTGTCCAGTGAAAGCCGGGTTCAAAGTATCCTCATGAATCAAACCATCCAGCCATCCGTTTACCCATCTAAACATCTATCCATATCCATCCATTCATCCATCCATCCATTCATCCATCCATCCACCCGTCCGTCCGTCCGTCCATCCATCCATCCACCCATCCACCCATCCACCCATCCATCCATCCACCCACCTACCCACCCATCCTTCCATGCGTTTTTATCGGGCTATCTTTTCTTACTAGTATGGGTACTGCCATGCCAATTTGATACTGTACTGCAGCCACCAAAAGACATGTTTGAAGACTAGCCAGTTGTACCACTGGACCCTCCAAGTCGCCCGCCCCTGCCCACCTGCCAGGCCGTGTCCAGTGAAAGCCGGGTTCAAAGTACCTTCATGAATCACGACCGGACCGTGACAGCGTCCGGTTGCCGCTCACGCCACCTTTCTGACCCCTGGACCAAGTGGCTTAGCGGTGGTCAGTCCTGTTCTCTCCAAGCAGATGTTGGAGGGGAAGATGCTGACCCGAATGGGTGCTATTGTATCCAACACCGTGAACATCTAGTTCTATGTCTGGATGGGTTAGGATCAGGCACGGTTCTCGATAACATCTAGATCGTATCCAAGAACGTAGATTTGCCGCAGGCACGGTTCTAAATACGCGTGGACTATCCATAGTCTCCACCAGACTTCTTTTGCGGGGTGAATAAATCGTAGAAATCGGCCTAAAAAGGGTATTAATTGGCCAGAGAAGGTAGCCGGCAAGAGAAGCTCCATTTCCCCGCAAAAGAAGTCTGGTGGAGACCAGACTATCCAGAACCATTCCTGTGTATGGTTCTGAATGAATCACGGATCTGGATACAACAGCACCCTACTTTTTCTGATAACAGTCCCCAACTCGGGCCGGTCGCGTTGGGCAAGTCGCTAGCTAATAATAATGCTTGCGTCCGTGGGGGGAATTTTAGGTGGAATTCGGTGACACCCTTTCCATTAGATGGTGGCGATCTCTCACTGAGCGACAAAATGTTTAACAGATCGCCCAAAAAAATATTTCTTTACGTTGTGTGTCTTGTCTAGTCTGCTTTTTTGTCACACAAAATATACTAGTATTCCAACGGTCACAAATTTTGAACGCCCAACGATCGCCCTCTATTGAATAGTGTGCTACTCTCCAAGCAGAGGTTGGGTTTTGGGGGTATTTTTAGCGTGTTTTTAGGCTTTTTTTTTAATCAGGGTTTCTCTTTTGCACTGAATTTTTTCCCCACAAAACCCAACAGCATTCGGAATGTTATGGGTTCACACAAAAACTAAAATCCGAATGTAGTGGGTCTGCAATCGCCGTCTAGTGGTTTACGGGCTTTAATGCGGGTGTTGTTAGCCCACCATTAGCCTCCTGTGCAGGCCCCGCGGCGGTGAGGAAGAGTTTTTAACGCATTATTTTAATATAGCCGGCCATCCTACATAGCCGCCTTGCGGAATGGAACCTTCTCTCGGCGGCTATGTAGGATGGCCGGCTATATTAAAATAACGCGTTAAAACTCTTCCCCATCGCCGCGGGGTCTGCACAGGAGGCTACTTTATGCTAATCTCCAAGCAGATCTTTTGGTGGCTAAAGATAGTATCCAACACGCGGACAGTATCCAGCCGGCCGACAGTGGGGGATCAGGAAAAAAAACGGCCATATATAAAAAGGTAACGATCATTCCCCCACAACCTCTGCTTGGAGAGTAACTTTATGCCGGGTATTGTCTTTTTAAAAAATGTGACCCTTTCTCAAGAGAGTCAAGCCAAATTCTTATAAGAATTTGGCTTGAGGAATAGGTATAATCATTGATGAACGATTGACCTGGAAACCACATATAACTATGTTAGGTAAAAAAATTTCAAAAACTATCGGTATTATTGGAAAAATTAAACATCTTCTTACTCAAAAAACCATTATTACCATATACAATAGCTTAATATACCCATATCTAACCTACGGGAATATAGTCTGGGGATGCGCCTACAAAACCACACTACAGCCCCTAGTATTACTCCAAAAAAGATTTGTTCGTTCAGCCACCGGCGCCAGTTTCCACGCACATTCTGCACCTTTGTTTACAAAACTTAATATTTTGAATATTTTTGACATAAACAAACTTCATCTGATGCTATTTACGTTTAAATTCCTTACTTGTTCTCTTCCAGACACATTTAATGGTCTTCTAAATCTTAATTCCCATTTTCATACTTACCATACTCGACAAAGTGCCCATTTCCATATCCCCCTAGTTAGAACGTCCGTAGCCCAAATGAGTGTAAAATATAAATGTATAACTACTTGGAATGATCTCCCGCTCCACCTAAAATGTTTAACATCAATAATTAGTTTTAAACGAAATCTTAAAAATCACCTACTTTTCTTTTCCACCGACATTTGATTTCTTATTACTTTGATTTCATCTGTATAAGTTTGAATCTCCGTTTCTCTTTAAAATTCATTTATTTTCTTGAGTTATTGCTTCAATTCTGCCAATGTCTGTATTGCAGTTAAAGTTCTGTTAACGTTAAAGTTATAGTTTTTAACATATCATTTCTAATTAGCGTTATTTATCAATCACTTTTGTTATTCATGTTACTATTTGTTTTGTTACTATTATCATTTTGATCATATTGATCAAATTTATAAGTTACCTATTGTTATTTATTATTATCATTTGATTTGTTAGCATTATTTCAGTTGTTAATTAATTTTGTCGGGGAAGATCCCAGACAAGCCACTATGGCTTCATATCTTTCCCCAGCATTTTATTTTATTGTCAGTAACATTTTCATTTTATTGTTATTAAATATATGCGAACCAATAAACAAACAAACAAACAAACAAACAATTGTGAGCCAGCACGTCGGCAGAACGTACTGTGCCTGCGCAGAACCCTGTATTTTCACGCTTTTCGGTGGATGTTTGGTCAACGTTGCATTGGGATTTTGCCTGTTGCAGAGGATATCTTTTCCGACATAACATTTGAGAACTACAGACGAGATGTTTTCCTTATATGCGCGAATACGACCTTATATGAGACGTTCTGCCGAAGTGCTATGTACAATACATTACGGGTTTCGCACAGGTGCAGTGCGTTCTGCCGACGTGCTTTGTGAGCCCACCCCGGGGATTTCGCGCCGCGCAGGTTTATGGATCCTCGCTAGCCTCTACCAGGCTTAGGGAGGCGGCTGGAAAGAGTAGAAATCGGCCAAATAGAGAGATAATCATGCCAACAAGGGAGTTTGTCCGTTGAGAGAACATTTCGCCGCATTTCGTGGCCGATTTCTACTCTTTCTAGCCGCCTCCCAAAGCCTGGTAGAGGATATTGTGAGCCCACCCCGGGGATTTCGCGCCGCGCAGGTTTATGGATCCTCGCTACGTCAGCGGTTCGGAAAGCCGCATCATCAGCCGCGTCTAGACGGGCGGCATTTCCCAGAAGAGCCCGCCATGAATCACACCTGGGGTGACTCCAGTCGCTGGAACAGCCTAAAATTGCGCGCGCGGCTTCCCGCAAACGATTTTGACGTAGCCTCTACCAGGCACCGCGGATCGCTGGAAAAATAGTAGAAATTGGCCGAAATAAAGGGATAGTATTCCAGAGAAGATCCAGGGCCATAGAAGCTCCACGGATCGCTGGAAAAATAGTAGAAATTGACCCCCACGTGGGTCGCAAATTGGAGCTTCTATGGCCCTGGATCTTCTCTGGAATACCATCCCTTTATTTCGGCCAATTTCTACTATTTTTTCCAGCGATCCGCGGTGCCTGGTAGAGGCTAATTTTGACGTACAGTACTCAGTAGCGTCAAAACCGTCAAAACGATAAACATACCGCCAAGCTACATCCAAAACCGTCAAAATTTTCGGTCTTCTACTTAGCTTCCCCTTTTAAATATCTACCAGTCGCTGGAACAGCTAAAATTGCGCGGCTTCCCGCAAACGATTTTGACGTACAGTAGCGTCAAAACCGTCAAAATTTTCGGTCTGACAGATGAATTTCAAACCGTCGTTGTTCTACGCATTTTCAGGGGGAATTTTTGTAATCTCCAATCAGATCTTTTGGTGGGGGTAAGACAGTATCAAATTGGCCAGTCTGTAACCATTTCTTGATACATCTGTACTGTCTTACCCCCACCAAAAGATCTGCTTGGAGATTATAAATATATGCAGATATATGGGGTGAAATATCTGTCCCTTCTCCACAAGAAAACAAAGCGGGGACGGGTCCTGGAAACAGCCCTGCTCCTGATGCACTTCAGTTCTTACTGTGCCTGTTGGATCAGTTTAGTCAAAAGCTACCAAACAAACAAAAAAAGATCCCCTAACGACTGACCCTAACTATGGCCAGAAACACAACATTTTATATTTGGCGAAAGAAACAAAAAAGAAGCAAAAGGACATCATAAAAAATATTGCTTCCCACACCGGGAATCGAACCCGGGCCTTGGCGGTGAGAGCGCCAAATCCTAACCACTAGACCATATGGGATTGCGTTAATGAAGACGTTGGTTATAAGATCATGGCCAATTTTATATATATTATGTGAAGCAATGCAATGTAATATGGAGCAGACTTCAAACCAGACTGTTACCATGAAACCACAAGATTGTTTGATGCTGTCATATCATATGTGATTTAATTTTTCTTGGGAATAATATTACATTGACATTTGATGTGATGAAACTGATATATATTGAAGCTGTAATATCACACAACTTTACTAGAAAATGCTGTCAAAACCGACATATATCGCGAAAAAATGCATATTTTCAGATCATCAGTTGTGAACACCTGTGCTGCAGTTCCACTCCCTCCGTATGGCGGCGCTATTCATATAAATCACGTCCCTACGAAGCGCCACTCGGCGGGTGGCGGCTGTAACTGCAGCTCTCACGTGTCGTATGTAGCGCGTTCGATTTTCTGTATTTTCCAGCCGGATGTTTTAGCTTGGTGGTATGTTTATCGTTTTTGATACAGGACAGCATATCCTCTACCCAACGTACCATTTCTTTCGCTTTGTAACTTTTCATCTAAAAAAAATGATAAGAAAATTAGTATGCTATGAAATGAATCGTTCATCAGTCCTGTACCGAAGCACAGCCCATGGAATCAAACAGGATTCCATGCACAACCCGT